GTTTAATTATAAATTTAAATGAATTTAAATTTGAATCATTTGAATATGTTTTGAAAGAAGAGACCGGCCTAGCCTCCTCCGCAGGCATCTCGTAGTTCACGTACTTCAGAAAGTCGGTATTAATTTTTTTGCCTGCAAGAAGTTTTGCCCGATAATCGAAAGGCGATGCCTGCGGAGGAGGCTAAGACCGGGCCCGTTTTTAGGTGTCCGCAGCCGGGCTGACCATCTGCCATGTAGGCTAATATAAACATTGTAAACACAATTTTCATTCATCGAACATTCATCACACTTTGTTTTATTCATTTGAGAAACCGGGATTTTTAAAAACATTTCAAATGTGGCTTCCTATTATTTGCTTTCTTTTAATTTTGCAGCAATTGAATGGTGAAGAAGAGACGAGAAATGCTGCCGACAAATTAAAAGGTATTACATTTTACTTAAAATTTTATATATAAACTGTTGTTTTGTGACAAATGACAAATGTATTATTGCACTACACATGAATGCACAGTACGACCACGCTTTATTTTATGTAAACTATATTATACAAATGCATTTTATATATACTTCCATCATTTACTCTCAATTCAAGCGTACTTTAGAATAAGCAAGCTTTGTTGCTTTTTTTAGAAAAATTGATCATTATCCCAATTTTTTTGTCTATAAAATATTCAATGATTGATTCCAGACAGCTGTTTGACAGGTGCATGGCGATTTTTTCAACTATAATTTTTTATTTTAGCAGTTGCAAACCCAAGATTAACCTTACCAGATTAACCTTTTGAATGCAAAGGAGGTGACAACATAGTTCAGGGCGTGACCCCCAGTTTGTATGTTTAAATAGACAGACACTAGTCTGGACAAAGGGGGGTAGGGGACAGTCCTCCCCCCCAATAATTTCTGAAAGCCTTTGAGTGATAATTAAATTGTGTAATGAAGCTATAGAAATAATTTGACAACACATTCTTTATTCTAGGTCATCTTGAGGCCATAGGTTCTCAAGGCACATTTTTAGGAAATATACCTGAATTAAAATTTTCTCCCGATGGTAAATACTTCTATAAAAATTTTATTCATGGACGTGAACCTGTGGTTATCCGAAATGCGGCAAGTCATTGGTTGGCTGTGAAAAACTGGCCAAATGAAACGTACCTGAACTTGACATATGGAGAACTGCCATTTACAGTGCACATGTACAAAGTTTACAGGGACGCGTTAAGTGTCCGCAAGGACATGAACTTATCACATTTCCTGGAAATTTACAAAGAGCAATCTGTATATTTGGATTCACCATTTCCCCCTTCAAATTTGATTAATGAGATTAGTCTACCATCTATACTCCAGTGTAAAGAGATCAGTTCCACTATAAGTGATGTCTATCTTCTCATGAGCAGTGGAAACACCAGTTCACCATTACATCACGATGGATATGAAAATATTTTAGCAATAATCTCAGGGACAAAGAAAGTTATTCTCTTCAAAAGTTCTTACAGTGAAAATGTTTATGCTGATGAGTTTAATGTGTTACCTGGTCTTTCACCAATTGATCCTGAAAAAGTGGATCTAGAGAAATTTCCTAAGTTTGCAGATGTCATGTATTATGAGTCTGTACTTAATCCTGGTAAGTGCAAGTACAGATCAATGGTAGATTGTTTTGATGATGGTGGTGGTGGTTGATAAAGAAAGGATTGATGGTGGTGCTGAATGATGTTGGTGGTGATGATGGTGGTGCTGGTAATGATGGTGGTGACAATGATGTTGGGTGATAAAGATGGTAATGATGATGATGGTGCTTGTAATGATGGTGCTAATGATGATGATGATAATGGTACTGATAATGATCATGATATTGATGATCATGATGGTGATGATGATGATGGTGCTGATAATGATCATGATAGTGATGATCATGATGGTGATGATGATGATGGTGCTGATAATGATTATGATAGTAATGATCATGATGGTGTTGATAATGGTCATGATAGTGATGATGATGATGGTGAGCTGATAATGATCATGATAGTGATGATTATGATGGTGATGATGATGATGGTGCTGATAATGATCATGATAGTTATGATCATGATGGTGATGATGATGATGATGATGATGGTGCTGATAATGATCATGATAGTAATGATCATGATGGTGATGATGATGATGGTGTTGATAATGGTCATGATAGTGATGATGATGATGGTGAGCTGATAATGATCATGATGATCATGATGGTGATGATGATGATGGTGCTGATAATGATCATGATAGTAATGATCATGATGGTGATGATGATGATGGTGCTGATAATGATTATGATAGTAATGATCATGATGGTGTTGATAATGGTCATGATAGTGATGATGATGATGGTGAGCTGATAATGATCATGATAGTGATGATTATGATGGTGATGATGATGATGGTGCTGATAATGATCATGATAGTTATGATCATGATGGTGATGATGATGATGATGATGATGGTGCTGATAATGATCATGATAGTAATGATCATGATGGTGATGATGATGATGGTGTTGATAATGGTCATGATAGTGATGATGATGATGGTGTGCTGATAATGATCATGATGATCATGATGGTGATGATGATGATGGTGCTGATAATGATCATGATAGTAATGATCATGATGGTCATGATGGTGAGCTGATAATGATCATGATGGTGGTGATGATGATGGTGAGCTGATAATGATCATGATGGTGATGATGGTGAGCTGATAATGATCATGATGGTGATGATGATGATGGTGAGCTGATAATGATCGTGATGATGATGATGGTGATGATGATGATGGTGAGCTGATAATGATCATGATAGTGATGATGGTGGTGGTGATGATAAATTATGGCAGTGATAATAATTGTAATAGTCATAATATTGGTGGTAGTGATTAATACCATGCTGGTGTTGGTGATGTGATGGAAATAATGGTGGTGATGTTGACAATGTTAGTGACATTTGGTCATGTTGACTTTAAATAGAAAATGTTAAAAATGATTGTATAATATAAATATTTTCAGGAGATATTTTATACATTCCTCAATATTGGTGGCATCATGTAACATCAGCTGGTGCACCAAATATTGCTATCAATATCTGGTTTGACATGTTTAATTATGAAGAACAGTTTGAAAGTGCTGGTCTGAAGGAAAGTCAAGATGTTGTCAAGGTATATTGAGTGAAGTAATGCACAGAAAGTAATCAAAGTATGTCGCCTTGGCTTTACAAACTCGTTCTCGTGACGATTGGCTTTAACAAGAATTTGGACTAAAAAAACAAGGGCCTGAGGAATTTTAGCAGGTTTTTCAATTTTCATGTTGGGAAATTTTGAGGCAGCCCCCTAATGTTTTGGTAGGCACTTATTTTAGAACATATGTATGGCATATTCTCTGTATGTCTGGTCTTTTCTCTTTCAGACAACAGAACTATTTGAAAAGTTAGCGAAAGAAGAGCCACAGAGTATTGAATGCAAGGAACAAGCCCCAGCTCTTGACCAAGCGTTAAAAATTGTTTTAAATGACAGTTCATCTGAATCACTGAGAATACCTAAAGTGGCAAAACGACCTGCTGATTTTAAATTGATCAGCGGTTACACAAGTGAGTTAAGGGAAGGTTTACTGCTCAGAAAAATGAGGCATCAATGATAAGATAGCTTCCCTGTTTTCAGCCCTTTAAGAACATCTCTACGTTTTTAGTGAAGGCCGGCTTTGATAAGGAATTTAGTGGCAGCCCTAGGCACATCAGCTATGGAAGCTGGACCCCAAAGTTTGAGATTTTTAACTAAACAGTTTCATTGGATGGGTAGGCAAGCCAATGTGGAGAAACGATGTGCCATCTAGGACGATGATATCCATCAAATTATAAATTCAGACTGATGAAGATAACAGGAGAGGAAACAGATCTGTTAGACTTGGCACCTGAAAGAATTCAGTTTCAAACATAAACTATGATAAAGTAATTGGTTGTGTTCTTTTTCAGTGCCTCCCTTGGGTTTTGGTACAGCTGGCCTCCACCCTGATGACAGACTGCCAGTAATTCTCACAGCCTTGGATGAAGGTTATAGGTAGCAACATGTTTATTATATATCATTGTGGTGTATGTCAACACCTTGCATGTTGCGTGCTTCGATGACGATGGAACTACCTGAAAAAAATAAACATAGATAACCAGTGGTGTGTTTATGTACATGCTATTGTTTGGTTCTAGGTTATTTGATACCGCGCAGATCTATGGAACCGAGGTTCCTTTGGGAGCAGCAATCAAGGAACGGAATATTCCTCGAGATGATGTAACCATAGTTACCAAACTTCATCCCCAGTACCACGGTTATGAATCCACGATTTCCGCGGTTCAAGAGTCTCTGGAGAATCTTCAAACTGACTATATTGATGTATTCCTTATCCACACAAAATACTGTGACGGGGGTTACTTCAAGTGTCCCGAAGGTGACTTTACGATTCCTGTAGTTTGCTTGATTTGTCTCAATTACCGTGTGAGAAGAGTGCTTCCACATCATCTCTATTTTCGCCACGTGCACACGTGAAAATCTCACAACTTGTCAACAAGATGTGTTCGCAACAGGCTTGTAGCAAGCTTGTCAACAAGTTGTAACAATGCTGTTATTTTATCAAGTTGCTACAAGGTTGTTACTTGTTGACAAATTGTTGAACTGTAGGACGATAAAATTTTTTTGGAACAACTTGTAACAAGTCTGTTGAGCTCAACAACCTTGTAGCAAGTTATCAACAAGCCATTGTTGACAACACATCCTGTTGACAAGTTGTTGGAACAGCATTGCTACATGTCTGCTGCCGGTTTGTTACAACTTGTGCGTTTTTATGTTTTCTCCTGTAATAACACTGAATCAATAAAGGATGGAACTCTTGGGGAAAACAGTTTAGAATTGACAGGGTTTTCCAATAGTAAAATGCTAGTTAGAGCTAGAACAATCATTATACTGCACATATTGAACTGTAGGTAAACCTGAAGGAACATGGCAAGACAGTTGGCGTGCTATGGAACATCTTCACGATGAAGGCAAAATACGTAGTCTTGGAGTGAGCAATTTTGATGTCATTGATTTGAGAGAACTGGTGAACTTCACCAAGCTCCCTGTCTCTGTTGTACAGAACTGGTTTGATCCTTTTCATCAAGATGAGAACGTCAGAGAATTCTGTGGCAAACATCGTATTCATTACATGGGTTATTCCACTCTTGGTACGTTTATTGTTTTGTTTCATCGATATGTAGTACATACAACATGAGTGACCATGTTGTATAAGATAAACCCCAATCGTTGCATATGTGATGTATATTTTATACACTTCATACTTTTTAATAATCTTGGGCATGAATGACGAATGATATTTAGTGTGAAAAATGAATTTAGGCCAAGTTCAAACGTTGAATTTTTTATTTGCCCAACCAATTAAGTGCAAATGAGCTCAAACAAAAGTTCTTGACATTTATATTCAGTTCACAATAAGCACGACGTTTGAAGTAATATTTTTGAATGCATTTAGTTTACTGGTAGCTATAGTTCCAGACAAATAAATAGTTCTCAATATTTTTAGGTTCTCAATGGACTACTTATGGTGGCTTGGAGAGCAATCCTGTGCTTACGTCTGCGACATTCTTTGAGATTGCAAGTCATTACGAATTTGTAGTGGCACAAGTCATATTGAGGTTGTATTATTGTTTTACAAAGGTTTAGCATAGCCCAACTTTTAGACCTATTTCATTACCTATTACAGTTACATGGATTTTGTAGAAAGCCAGGAGCACTTGCGAAAAATGCAACTATAGGTCCTCCACAGGAATCGATCCTGCGGCCCTGTGATCCCGGTGTTGCGCAAGTTCGATTGTTGGCTTGCCTACTCAATGCGCAACTAATTAGCCTTTCTCACGATGAGAATATCCGCCATTTTTGGGTGGCATCTAATTCTCGTTAACCAATGCAGACAACTAAAACAATGTGAAAAGCAATTTTTTAAAATAAACTAACCATTTACAAAGCAAATTTACCATCATTCGTCCAAAAAATTATAAAAAGTCGCTGTTATGTGGACTTATCTCGCAGACTTCGGCTGAAATGCCACCCAAAAATGGCGGCGTGAGAAAGGTTAATTCTTATACTCGTTCTCTTAAGGTGGGCCATTCATTTGAACATAACTGTCATCCCGCGGTCACATGACCCACGTCATATTCTACTCAACTTCAAGACACTTGACATGGAACTGAGCGAACATGAAATCAAGCTTATCACTGAGGAATGGTTACCAAGCACTAGCCAAGGAACAGAGCAAGAATCAGAGAGCCTGGGGACAAATGACGAGGAGCCTGCTGATTTAGAGGGCCCGGAGGCCAGAGAAGAGAATGATGACAATCATGTGACGAGCGATGGAAATAAAGACGAACTGTAGAAAATAAAATTAAATAGTTGAAACATCTAATGCCAGAATGAAACGCATCTGTATTAAAACAATAGGCCATTATTTATTTCCAAAACAGTAGAGTATTGTTCGTGAACACAATATATATATAGTTCCATTGTCAATTTTAATAATGATATTGTTTTCAAACAGTGTCATTAAACTAAAGTATTAATTATAAAATATTGATTCTAAATCATTGTATTATTAGAATAGTAGATAGATACTTGCAAAGTGCAAAATTATACCAGAAAATAGGCAGACATATTATGTGGTGTTTTATCATATATAAAGATACGAGGCGAAGCCAAGTGTCTTTAGAAGGTGGGAAAGGGTATTTTCGTGAGCCGTGAATGGTGAATATTTGTTCGTGTGAAATGTGAAATGCTTGATTTTAGTGTCGTGAAATGTGATTTGTTCTACAGCCGTGAGGCGTGATTGTTGATAAAAATGCTTCATGAAATGAGAATTAAAGATGCTTGTTTCGTGAACTGAGATTATTATAGTGATTACTATAATAAACATGATACGCGATAATCAAATTTATATGATCTCACTCGATTGCACAAGAGTAAAAACTTCGGAGGCCTTTCGCGAGGTTCCTGGCGGTGAGGACAAGGTGAAACTTGGTTAAAATACACGTGAATCGTGAAACTGCTTTTTTTTCCGTTGTGAAACGTGATCCATACCCCCAACCTTTCCGGCCCTCTCTTTAGGTCTGATAAAACCAACACTGCGAATGTTTTAAATTGCTTCAAAAACGATTGATCTAGTAAGTTCAGCGGCGAAGTATTTTCAAAAAATACGTTGCGTAATTTGAGAAAATGAGAGGTAAAGTTTATGTAAATCAAGGGAAATCTCTATCACATATAAAGATACGATAGGCTTGTGATTTTTTCTTTGAGTTTTCCTCATGAATTATTAATGAGTTTTTAAAGTGATTTTTTCAGTTTTTTCATCCCAATAATGCCTGATAGCATCGCTATTTGTGAAATGATCAATAACCGAGTCAATAATCAATTGAAATCAATATATTTGAGATTTTCCAGAGCTTCGCACATGGACTGCGCGGAAAGAGACTAGTAACAAGTGCATGAAAGCGAGGCAAATCTTACGTGTGATTCTCTTTTCTTTGAAAAATTAGAAGAACAGTGAATCACATTGTATTGCACTGGTGTTTTTCAAACTTTTGCAAAATGTCGAAGAACAAGAAACTCACAAAAGAAGAGGAGTTACTGTTGCAAGATTTCGGCCGCAATGTGTCGACGAAATCGTCGTTGTTGTTTTATTGTAATGCCTTTTTTGTCTCGGCTGTGCCACTATGTAAGTGTGACCTTTGTTCGTTTATAGTTTCATATTTTGAAGCATTTGGTTCCACGTGTAGAAGAAAAATGTGATGTTTCATCATGGTATTTCATTTCGTTTGTACACATGTTTAAAATAGACATAAAACTCATTAATGCTAAACTTTATATTTTAACATAAAAACACCACCTGATACAATTACTAGAAAATGCCCAGTTGGTATAAAATTTATAAACCTGATAAAACAGCATCCATTAGAACTTGATAAGCTTGTGGTATTTTGGAAATTACAAGATGGAAACCCTTGTTTTACAAGTTACCATTTTGTTGTGCAAAATACCAATATTTATGATCTTTCTTGATACAAATATGAAAAGGCATTGACAGGCTGTTCACACGATCTTGGCCTGATAGTGGAAGGCAGGATGATTTCGAGGGTGATCTGAACTATTGGCATTATAAAGTTAAGTAATACGTAAAAAATTGCACTGTCTACAAATGCTAAATACGTTCTAGTGGTTGTCGACAGTGCTAATTTCTCTGTATTAGTTAACTTCATTTTGTCTGGTGCCATTTGATTTTGAGGTGTTTTAACCAGTTGCACGCTAATGTGCCCTTTCTTTGTTGTTTTACTCTGTCTAATGTCTGATGATTTTACTTGTCAAGGGGAGAGTGCTGGCACTCGATAAGCAATCTTGCATTCTTTCTCATCGCATTCTATCGAGTTCTGACTCATTCATGATTGATGAATTTGTTTAGGGTTATTCTGGCGTGTTCATGAAATGGATCCACAGGATTCAGTGATTTTGTTCAGTGTTATGACCTTGATTTGTACATGGTTTATTTCCTATGCTTATAAGAATATTAAATTTCAGTTAAAACACAAGTAAGTAGAATGTTTTGTAATCTGTAAAATAATTATGTAAAAGAGGTAATGAAAGGGCGTAGTAGTTGACTAACATCCAAACAAAGTGTCTTAGCTCAGAACATTGAAGTTTTCTCTTTATCTCTGGAACTTGTGGCCAAAACAAACAGGATTACGACCAAGCTTGCAATATTGCAGGTTGAGAACAGAGATTTACTTTGGTTGAAAACTAGGCATCCTAACTCTCCCACCTACAAGTCCTCCCCCACCTACAAGTCCTCCCCCATAAAACTGGCTGCTACGCAGGTTACTGCAAAGTGATAAACACATTAAACAACGTTAAACTAAACCATTCCAGGATAGCATTAAAGATTGAACATGCAGTGACGCGTGAAGTGAATCATCAACTAGATTCGAAACCTGAGACAAAAAAATTAACAAGACAAGAAAAAGATGAGAGGTTTGTTGAAGATGAATAACATGACTATATATCTCACTGAGCAGTTGAGTATAGTGTCTGGTCTTGTTAGCTTTTTGTTGTTAACCCTGTTAACTAGCATTCTTCATCCTTTATTGATTAACCACATTACCCTGCAATTTATCAACACATGTTTCCTTTTTTAGAATTTTGTGGAAGAAAAACAACGTTGCAGACATGGAGGCAACAACCTACTCGATCTTTTATAACAACACGCTGTTCTTGTTTTTGATGTTGATAATGTCTTTCTATGTTGCAAGATCTTTCAACCCTGGAGTGTATCCTTTTGAAACAAAACTGTAGGAATAGTTTTAAAACAGGTACCAAGGCCAGATTTTAGTGGAAATACTGGGGAAGTTGGAAAAAATATTGTGGGATGTGCAGTGTCTTCCTCACAGCCCCCAATGGACATGGCATGTTATGGCTTAGAACATACCCCCCTAGAATCAACCATGTGAATTATGACTGTATTTCATTCTGCATTATGACTTCATTGCATTACTACATTGCATTAAAAGGGGCTATTCAATTTTATAGAAAAAACTTTCTTACAAAGTGTAGATCCCGATCAGCGCATAAAAAATTTCACTTTGATCTATCACTTAATCTTTCTCAAGGGTAGGTGCATGACTTTTCAGGGGAGGGGCAAAACAATCTCAGGGGAGGTGCGCACCTCCCCTCAAAATCCGGCCATGCCAAGTATGCCTCTCAGCCAAGGCTCCTTCATTGTACAACATCAATTTCCTTAACATATTTGTAGTAACTATGTGATGTCTACAGCTGCAGCTTCTGGATTTGTTGCTCTCCTGTCCACCTCATCTTCAGCCACATCATAATTTTAATATTTCAACACAACTATATTGGTTTTTAGAAATAAAGGTGGCTAGACTTGGCCAGAATCATATAAGTTGTATACTTGTTCATTATTTTTGGTTGTTCTTCAAGTGTTTTACTAGTATAAGTTTTTAGTATAATATGCTGGCTTGGATGAAACTAGCTGGAAAATAAAATAAGAACAAACTTTGGTTTTGAGAGTGAAGGCCTTTTGTTTGGAAAATAATAGCGTGTGTCGGGAAACTACTAGCAAAGGGCCTTTCCTTGAGGCGTCTACGTTTGTTCCAATTTTTCAGGTAGTTTCATCATACAACAAAGCTTGCAAATTGTATTCCTCACTATCGACATTAAGCACCTATCAAGCATAGTATCTTTTTGTATAATACTTTTAATTAATAAGAAATGTACCTTTGAATAGACTGAAATACAGCATGTACCCTACCAGAAACTGATACTTACAGGGGTACACCCCAATGTTTTTTTACCAAAGAGTGGTACATTTTCACGACAATTACTGTTGAACTACCCCCTGACTATCAGGGAGTTATGGATTGATAATTGTTCCAAAATTTTTGGGGGGAGGTTTAATTTTCTCTAATCTAGCCAAAAAAGGGGGTCAATCCACCCTTGTCACTTCTAATGTTTTTAAAATGGAGAGAAACAAGATGGAAGGGTTGTTATTGGTGTTTTTGCAACCCCATTAGGGGGGTAAGCCTATTTTCTGTTGACTTCTTGTCTCTCCCCCCGGGATATGGCCGTGGAAGGCCTGGAAACAGCAGGGAAGACATGCGCAGTTTTGCTGAAAGAAAGCTGGTTTTCATTCAAAAGCGGACAAAAGATATTCGCTTGAAAACACGTTTTATCACATTTTAAACATTTTTCTGGCTAAAAATGAAGAGAAACGCTTCAAAAAGAAAAGAGCCGTCCACTTCTGAGACCGCTTTGGTTGGTGAGTTGTGAAATACTTCCTTTCTATATTTAAATTTTGCCATTTCCTCCTAGTACGAGGACCGCCATAGAATTCCGTCTTTTTATTTTGAATTCCGTCTTTCCGTTCTTCTTCAAAATTTTAACGAATACTTAGCTTTAATGTTGCTTTTTGCGAAGCGTTTCTATTTCTAATCGAGACCTCGTGAGATGCCTGTCATTCGCGAACTTCAAACCATAACATTTTATAAATTTGTATTACACGGAAAACCTCCATTTTAGCCCTCAAACAACGAAATTATTTCAGTAAAATAATTTCCTTTCCTTTCTAGTAGAGCGTAGACAAAATGTTTATATTAACAAGGTGAAAATAAGCACGTTTTGCGCGTATTGATTTGGTTTTATAACTTTATATAGCGCCCCTTCCCCCCTGGCATATATTTTATACCGGCTCAGACCTCGCGGCGCGTTTATAACTTTATATAGTGGCGAAGCAATAATTTCATCATTTTGCATTAATATTTTTATTTTAATTATCTATATTATAATTGAGGATTATGTCTATGAATTTCTAGGGTTTTTTGCTAATTTTGTAATGAAATTTGCTCAGAACAGAATTTGCCATTTTATTACAGTAATAAAGTATATTGAAGTTACTTCTGTTTTGAAGTTTTGATTGTACTTAGAGGGCCCCCTATACCTCTTCACAATATGCTTTCACGTAAAAATATTTTGCCTTTTCACGAGTCGCGGATTAAGAAAATCATCGATCACGTTTCACGGCTAAGTAAAATAAGCCCTTCACGCTTCACGAAAAAAGTATAGGGGGCCCGATCACGTTTCACGGCTAAGTAAAATAAGCCTTTCACGCAAAAGGTATAGGGGGCCCTCTACTTAGGGAAGAACAAGGGCTGTCTGTTAGGGGGAGCATCCATACTCAACTTGCCATGAGAAATGTCAATTTGACGTTTCTTTTTTTTGTTTTTGAAATTGTTACATTTTTGGCGGGAAAATAGTGCGACAAAATTGGCGGCAAAAATTTATATAATAGATACAGCTGATTTTCGGTATGAACCTGAAAGAGTATACTGTAAGAACCTCGAATCTGAAGTCCGTTTTAAATTATGACTATTCATTACGAAGTTATATCAATTCAAAATACAAGAAATCCGCCATTTTGTTCTATTTTTAGTAACAAAATGGCGAATTTTCGAAATTCAACTAGCTATATATTGGCCATGAATTGGTCCATTACAAAACAGACTTCACATTTGAGGTTCTTACAGTATGCTCTTTCAGATTTATTCAGAAGAAAACCCATATCTATTATATAAATTTTTGGCGCCAATTTCGTCACGTTATTTTCCCGCCAAAAATGTAAGAATTGCAAAAACAAAAAACATCAGATTGTTAGAAATGATATATTCTATGTAAAGGCCAAATATCGTAGAAGAAGAATAAAAATTGAAGAATTTCTTGTACAGCGAAAACGAACTGGACATTTCTGAAGAAAAAATGCCAAGCGTGGAAAATGTGGAGAAAATTAGAAGTAAACCACGTGCCCCCTTTAGTACATGTTACTACCGTATTATCAGAAGTGGTTCCCCCCTCCATCTGGATTAGGGGTGTACTGGAACCAATTTTTAAAGTTATGGCTGGAACCGGATCTGGCCAGAACTAGAAAAAAGTTCCGGCCGTAACTGATCATTAAGCGATATATGGTCATATGTTACTTTGTCTGCTGCCAGACACTTTCAGTCATCAAGGAGAGAGCTTGCAAATGTTAGAGTAAAAAGATTGACCATCGTTAAACGTCATAATGAAGTGTTAAGAGTGTACATTTTTCTTGTGTTGTTCAAGTTTTTTCCTATGCTATTCAATAAATAAACTTGATTTCGTATCTCTCTGAAAATGACAAAGTTCCGGTTCCGGCCATGGGTTTTTTAATTATAGTTCCCGGCTGGAACTCTGAAAAATTGGGGTTCCAGCCGGAACTAACCGACCAGAACCAAGTTCAAGTGCACCCCTAGCTAATCTGGATGGCAGAAGCCTCCTTCATAGGGAGAGTAAATCCATATTGATCATTGATTATGTCAGGTGAATCATCTAAAAAGAAACAAACAAAATCCCCCCAAAGTCCAGTGATATCCAGTGATGTTGTTGAGGAGTCTGCTGCTGATCAGGAGTTTTATAAGAAGGTAAGTACAATGTTTGAATCACAGGGAAATTTGTTGTTCGGAGCAGCACTTCATGAGAGCACTTGTGACAGATGTGATTAGCAAATTGTCCCTTATAGGATGACTGGTAGGGTGAGACGGTTAATCGATGGAAAATTTTTTTAAACTGATTCAAGCAATGTTGTTCTACAGTACGCAATACAATTGTTTTTAAAACTGAAGTCTTGAATGTGTAGCATAAAATGTAATCCAACTGTAGTATATTTTGACATAGTTATAAAACCATTTTTGTCCTCCGGTGTTTGAGAGTTTTTCTTCCAGACCTCTGTTTTTTCCCTTACTCCAAAACATAATCCTCAGGCCTTAGGCACATGTATCAAGAGCCTCTGGCTTGGGGCAGGCTCACCTTGTGTAATCAACATATTAAAAAATATGATGATTATTTTCTTCTCTAGCCATCTGTGGTACTGGCAGAACATTTAGGAATGAAGTTGGATTACTCAATCCCGCCACACAAAGAAACTGACATGACGTACAAGAAATTCTTACGCATCGTTCACAAGCAAATTGGTTCAGCAAATGCAGGATTTCCGAATTCAAAAATCATTGCACTTGTGGGAGCTGCATGGAAAGATTGCAAAGCTGAAACGCAAGGTAAAGATACTGGCAAAACAATTACAACATTTTTATATAAAACGTTTTAGACATAGTGATAGCCATACAAATATCAAAAAAGGGAAATTTTACACTTTACCATACCAGAGTAATCACTGAATACATATGCCAATAAAAGAACGGAAAAACCGTCAGAACACACCGCCATCAAATACTTGCGGTACGGTAGAGTGTAAAGTACCCCAAAAAAGTTATATTTGTTGGGTAGTTTGATCCTGTAAGATCACTTAAGTATATCATTCATCAATACCAACAGTGGACCCGATTCAAAGTTTTACATGTAATGGGGAACCTCTTTTTCTCAGAAAAAAACATAATAGAAGAAACAAGCGGGAAAAGTGAATCAAACCCAGCTGCTCCTGAGGTTGAATCAGAGATCAAACCTGAGGGAAAGAAAGTGGGCAAGAAGAAACGATTGATTGCACCAATCCAAATTAAACTCACAAAAATGCCTGTTAGTCAAAAATTGCACAAATCATTGGTAAGATCCACATGCCAGAATTTGTTGATTTTTGAAGTTTACATCCTTGTTAAGATGTGATTATGTTCATTTTTGACATACATAGGAGCAGTCAGATGATTCAAATAATAAAGTCATTTCAGAAAGTGAGGAACTGCCAGTTGTGAAAAAATTGAAAAGTATGTCTGTTTTATTTGTTAGTTATATGTGTAACTATTTAAACCCCTTCCCCTTTGCATTAGATAGTGTCAAATGAAGTACAGTAAGCTTTGTAGGGTGTATTTTACTGTGTCTAATGCCAGACGACTTTTCTTTAGTTTGTAATTCAGAGATCCAGTAATGGAGTGATAAATTCTGTTGGGGGATTTACTTTTCACAAGGAATCGGGTAAATAGAATAATTGAAATATTTGTGTAGATTGTGCAGTGCAAGAGCTAGGTGATGATACAGACAGATCTAGTGACGCGGGAAGCACAAGTAGTCGATCAAAGAAACGTAAAAAGAATTTGAAGAAAAAGAACTTGATTGAAATTGATTCTGGTGATGAGGAGACACCAAAGAAAAAGAAAACCAAAATAAATGAGAAAACAAAAGCAAAGAAAGGCAAGAAAAAAGGTTGGTTGAAATCCACTGAGGGTCCCACCCCACCTCGGCTGCACCTTTTCTTCAGGACCAATTTTGTAATTATTTCAAAATGGAGGAGAAGCTGGGAGTGGCATAAGTTCTACTACCGGTACACAGTTTGAAAATTCATTTTTTGTATGTTTGATGTGTTTAATTGATTTTTGTATTTTTTGTTTTAGTTGTTAAAAGAAGACGTCTGAAGCAAGATCTGGTTAGTTGCTCAAGTAACCTTTTTAATTCCACTTTTGAACTGCAAGTTCAATGTATTTTAGTGTGGTGTTCATACTTTTGATATTGTGATGGTGATATTGGTTGTGGTGATTACGGTGGTGGTGATTATGGTGATGGTGTTGATGATGCAGGTGAAGTGGTTATGATAGTGATGATGATGGTGATGATGATAGTAATGGTAATGATGGTGGTAATGGTGATTGATTGTTTGGTAATGGTGTTGTTTATAATAGTAATGGTAGTTCACAAGTGGTGGTGATGGTAGATATGTTGTTGTGTTTCAGGATGATGATGATGACGATGATGATGAAGCAAATGATCAACATCAAGATTATTGTGAAGTTTGTGAAGAAAGTGGTGAACTACTGTTGTGTGATACATGTACATTATCTTTTCATTTGCAATGTCTTGATCCACCATTAGATGAAGCACCAGAGGGAGAATGGAGTTGTCCCAAATGTGTAAGTCAAACATCAGATTGTTCTTCCCTGTGTGCCCCACTCACATACTTTGGATGTACTGAAATATTAGTTATTGTATTCCTTGTATTTTTCAAACGATTTAAGGT